GGAGAAAAATTTAAAACTCAAAAGCTTATGGAAGTGACTGTTGACAAATCAAAATAAATTAATTTAAAAAAAGAAGATAGGAAGGAAAGAAAATAGGAAGGGAAGAAAATAGGAAGAGAAGATTAAGGGAGGGAAGGAGGGAAGGAGGGAAAAGAATAGCCCTTGTAACAAATATGCATAGTCAAAGAAAACAAATTCCTACTTGTCCATGTCTGAAAAATATTTATCTTCTTCTGCCTCCTGAATTTATCACCTCTCTCTCAAGAGGGTAGCATGAATTATAGTTGGTCATTCCACTGATCAAAGTTCTCAACTAATTCAAAGTTTTAACACAAACTCTTTTGCTTGCCCCAAAGCCTGATTCAATGGAAAAAGCACAGACTACAGAATCAGAGAACCTGGATTCAAACCTTCCCCCTGATTCTTATTACCTCTGTGACTTTGAACAATGAATTTAACTTCCTGAAGCCTCAGTTTCCTATCTGTAAATTGAGGCAGTCAGACTAGATGCCCTCTAAGGTCCTTTTTAGTTCTCAATCTATGTTTTTGGTCCTAACCCTAACATCACCTAATTTTACTTTGAACCCTAACCTTAACCCTATTCTTCACTTTAATCCTAAATCTAACCCTTCAACACAATGCTTAACTTAACATCAATCTTAAATTGAACCTTCTCCTTAAACCTTAACTCTCACAATGGAAATAGACTCAGAGGCTCTAAGCTTCAAATCGGGCTCCTGACACTGAAGTCACATTACATCCATGTGCCTCAGTTTCCTCATCTATAAAATGAAGGGACTGGACTAGATGTCTTCTGAAGTCCTTTCCAGCATTAGATCTATAATCTCACGACCCTTCTAATGCTGCCCCAACCAAACTCATCCCCAAGCCTCGCTTCACTCTCTGATAAGGAGAGGGGCATTGGAAGAAGGAGAAACAGCTCATTCTGGGCACTAGAGGCAGGCTGCTCTACAACTAAAATGTGACATTCTACTCCAGCTTGAGGTTCAAGGTTGGGGATTACCTGCTGTAGGAAGATTTGGGGTCAAGAAGGGGAAGACTGGCAAGAAGGCCAGATACACACCTGTTTGAGTATGTTCTGCTCCCGCATCAGTTTCTGCCGCTCTCGGTTGGGCTTTGTCACCATGATGTCCAGAACACTCTGCCCATTGTTGGGGACATCGCTGACAAAGAATACCAGGTCCTCTAGCAACTGGATGACAAACCTGGAAACGGGTTAAAGAATAGTGCTTAAGAAATACTTGATACCTTCCCCTGCCCCCAGAATCAATCTATTAGGGGGTAGCTCATGATCCATCCACAAGAGCAAAATAAATCTCTATGGAGTCAATCACTACTGAAAAATATCCAGCAGCAAGACAGCTTTAATTTCTCACAGAAGTAGGTTTAAATCTTTAATCCTGGAATTTATGGCTCTCTACAATTTAGACCCAATCTGCCTCTCCAGCTCTAACTCCCATTGGCTTCCTATACATACTTTCCTGTACAACCAAACAAACAGGTTTTCTCATTCTGTATGTGACTTTCCTTCACACCTTTGCTTAAGCTGTTCTCCCTCCCTAGAACAACCTCCCCTTCCTTTTGTACCTAAACAATATTAGTCATCTTTCAGGGTCCAGCTCAAGGGCCCCTTCAAATCATTTATTAAATACCTTCTATGTTCATATTGGGCAGCTAGGTGGCACAGTTGATAGAGTGCTGGGTGTGGAGTCAGGAAGACTCATCTTCCTGAGTTCAAATTTGCCTTCAGACAATTACTAGCTGTGTGACCTTGGGCAAGTCACTTAACCCTGTTTGCCTCAGCTGCCTATAAAATGAGCTGGAGAAGGAAATGGCAAACCACTCCAGTATCTTTGCCAAGAAAACCCCAAATGGGGTCATGAAGAGTTGGCCGCAACTGAACAACACAATGTTCATATCAAATAGGGGACAGGGTTGGAAACTGGACCTGTGATTTCATTGGCTAGGGAACTCCAGGATAAGGATCCCCCCACCCCCACCCCCACCCCCACCCCAATGCAGACTAGTATCTTCTCTGCAACTTATAGCCTTAGAGTTGCTTAGAGCCCAGAAAGGTTGTATTCTAAGCACACAGTCAGCATGTTTCAGAGGCTGGATTAAAACTCAGGTCTTTCTGACTCCAAGGCCAGATACCTATCCATTACACCATACTGTCCCTCAAAAATAAGAAAAAGACCTTCAAATGAAAGTGGTTTTTGGATGAGATTGTTTTCAAATTCCTTAATCTGACGACCCTGTGCCCTAAGTACAATGCTTTGCAAACTGTACAATGCTAGGAAAGTGTGAGTTACTATTATTATTTGCAAGGCTAGGCGGGCAGGGCATGCAGAGGAGAAGGGGATTCCTGGAGACCAGTTAGGAAGATATTAGAATAATCCAGGCAAGAGGGAGGGAAAGAGAATTTGGAACTTAAATTTTTTAAAAATGAATGTAAAAAATTGTGTTTACTTATAATTGGAAAATAAAATATTTTTTTTTAGAAAACCAATCCAGGCAAGTGATAATGAGGCCTAAATTAGCATATTGGCTATGGCAATGGAGAGGGAGAGATAGATGCAAAGGAGTTGACAGTACTTTGCAAGGGATAAAAGGGAGCAGGAGTTGGTCCTAGGATTTCACTGGCCCAGGAGACTTTTGGCTGAGGACACTCTGTCTACCAGTGCAGGTTGGCACCTTCTCTGCAATTTACAGTCTTAATAGTCCAGATTATAGAGAAGTTAAATGACATAGCCAGGGTCACACAGCCAGTATATATCAGGTAGGACTTGAACCCAAGTTTCCTGGTTCCATAATCAACTTTCTATCCACTGCTACCACTTAAGTAGGGCAACTAGGTGGTGCAGTGGACAGAGCATGGTGCAGTGGATAGAGCATGGGGCATGGAGACAGGAAGACCTGAGTTCAAATGTGACCTCAGATACTTACTAATTGTGTGACCCTGAGCAAGTCACTTAACCCTGTTTGCCTCAGTTTCCTCATCTGTAAAATAAGCTGGAAAAGAAAATGGCAAACCACTCTAGCATCCTACGCCAAGAAAACTCCAAACAGGATCACAAAGAGTCAAACACAACTAAAAGGACTGAACAACACCATTTAAGTGGTAATAATGACTCATCAATCTATAATTCTCACCACAGAGGCAGGTGATTGGGTATGAGAGGTAAGGGAGAAGTTAGAATCAAAGATGATTCTAGGATAGAGGTGTGATGGTAAGTATCTAACAACTGGCTCTCAAAAATAACAACAACACACTTTTAAGTTTAATCTGCATTAATCAAATTTTCTCCATAACTTTCTTAAATACAGAAAATCAACAAAACAACAAATCAAACCCTGACTTGCAGCATTTGCTGATTTCTGAGGTATACATGCTCACACTGAATACTTCACAATCAGCTCCTTTGAGCAGGTTAAGAACTGATTCCAACATACTCCTCCTACTCAAGAGGATTCCCTGATCACACCTGCTATACCTATATCTAGCCTAAACGTGCCTCTCTCCACCTGCCCTCTACCCCATACTTCCCAGTTCTGCCCTTTAGAGCCAAGCAGAACAAAGCTAATCATTATCTCCCATGGGGCTGGTCTTGAAATACTTGAAGACAGTTATCATATCTCTCTGAAGAGTCTTCTCTTCCCCAGACTAAATATTCCCATCTCTTCAATGGATCAACAGATCTTCAATTTTGCAGTCTCCATTAATCCATTAAGGATGATTTTAGGGACGAGGACATTCAACTTGTTGACTAAATATGAAACAAATCAGTTGATGACCCAAGGGGGCTACCTGCGGTCATTCTGGCTGATGAAACCCTCATTGAGCTTCTCTACGGCACTGGCCAACATAGAACTGGCATCATTGGCAAAGTCAAGGTCTCGGATCTCAGACACGGGCACAGAGACGATAGCAAAGGCTTCTTTGTCTTCCTTGGTGGGGCAGGTGCCCAGCTGCAATGACCTGGAGTTAGCCTCATTCTCCCACCAGGGAATGACCCTTTCTCATCTCATCTCCACAGCCTCCCCTCAGCAGCCATTCTCACTTTCTCTTCCTCCTTCCCTCCCTTTCTCCCTTTCTCTCCTATCCTAAGGGGCTGGGAGGTACCATGAGTCGGATGGGCCGCTCCTCCTCGATGTCAATGGGAACGTTTGTGCTCTGGATCCACGTGTTGGTGCACAGATGGCGCAGCCGGACATAGGAGTTTCTGGCACAGAGAGGTCGGGGTCATAAAAAGGTCATGAATCACAGAGAGGTCAGGGGTCATTTAAAGGTCAGAGGACACCTGGGAAATGGGCAGACGCTCATGGGTAAGAGGGGCTACAAGGTGGCATAGAAGCAGTAGGCTGTGACATAAACTCACTCCTGTCTAGCAATTTTTAATTTTCCAGAAAGACCTGTGAACTATGAGGTAGAGAGGACAGGTATCATAATCCGTGTTTCACAGATAAGGAAACAAGTTTAGAGAAGGGAAATGACCTGCCCAAGGTTACACAACTACTTGGTGACACAGATAATACTAGAACCCAACCTCAGGCCTTAACAACTGCCACAAACTACAGACAGAGCAGAGAATACAGGGTAAGGGATATTCCAGCACCCAAACAGCCCCATGGAGAAGCAAGGTCCCACCACCACTATCCATATATATCTCCCCCACCCTGATTCTCCAGCATAGGGTACTGTACTTGGAGTCAAGAAGACTTCAGTGTATACTGCCTCAGATACAGGCTACCTTGATATACTAGCTATATGGGTCTGAGCAAGTCACCTCTCCTCTGTGCCTCAGCTTCCTTATCAGTAAAATGATGGGTTAGATGGGATAGACTGGACTCCAAGGTTCCTTCCAGCTCTAAATCTACAATCTTATGACGATCCTACGATCCCCCTCTCAGGGCCAAGATTGAGAGGGGATACAAACCGAGGCACAAAAGAGTCAGTCTTCTGCAGTGTGGTGGGATCAAGCTCAAAGAGAGAAGCGATATCATTCCCGTGAGGCACAGCCACAAGTCGGTATTTGATCTTCTCACCAGCGTTTCTTCGGCCAGTCCTTCCCTGAGGCGCCTAAGGGAAACATGACCTAAGGTCTCAACCCTTCCCATCCCCATCAGCAGCATTAGCACCAGAACGTTTGAGTCTCCTTTCTGTACCCTACTACCTCAGGGGGCCTAGAGCTCCCTTCCAGCTCCCTGGCTGCTTGGCCCAAACCCCTGTCTGTGCGAGCCCTCGCTACTCCAATCACTCACCCAACATTTATTAAGCACCTACTATATGCCAAGAACTGTGTTAGGCACAAAACCAACAATAAAATAATAAGACAGTCCCTGCCTTCAAAGAGCCACTTACAGTTCCTGTAGCTTTGGGTTCTCCTGAATCACCCTTGTAGCTGGGGTTTTCCTAGAAAAGGAACAAAGGATATTAACTGGCCTGCTCCATCAACCTCAGCGAAACAATAGCTAGTATTTATATAGCATTTTCAGGGTCGCAAAGCACTTTACGTGTTATTCACTTGATCCTCACAACAACCCGGGGAGGTAGATGCTATTATTATACGCATTTTACAAATGAGGAAACTAAGGCTGAGAGGGGTTAAGTGACTTGCCCAACTCATAGAGCTGATAAGTGTCTAAGGCAGAATTGGAAGTGTTTATATACATGTGTATGTGTGTGTGTGTGTGTGTGTGTGTGTGTATAAAATGTGTGTGTATGTATATGTATGTATGTATGTGGACATGTGTATGTGTGTGTATACATATACATATATATGTATATGTATACACACACATTTTAAGCACCAAATCATAACCATACCACCCTGGAATGGAAGATGAGAAAACATCTTTAGGTCCCCAGGGGGTTAGGCAGGTGTTTCCTCACCCTCCCATATTTTAAGCTGTAGCTGTTAGCACAGTCACTGGCTGCAGGTGCTTCCAGCTTCTGGAAGGAATCAGAGTTTAAGGAGGAACCTTAGGTATCATCTAGTCTAAGCCCCAGTTTTGCAGATGAGGAAACTGTGGCCTGAAGAGGTTAATGGACCTGCCCATGCTCATACAAGTAGTAAGATGAGATTGTTCCCCCAATTTCCTCCCAACTCTCACCCACTCCCACCCCCTAACAAGGCAGAGCAGTGAGAAAGAACCCAAAAACTACAGAGGTTTCCTCCCAGACTCCCTCGTAACACATATACATATGCATATATACTTACATATATGCACACATACAGCTACGACTGCATACATACACAACTCTATACTGCTGCATACACATTTGGATGTATACACTTATGCTCACATGCCAGAATATTTGGACGCACATATAAATTTATGCATAAGTACATACATCATTCATGTTTATACAAATACACGTGCACACACACAACTTCAACAAATCCCCGTCTCCTGTCCTCACCTCTGCTGCCAGGTAATTGCCTGTGGCCAGGTGTTTAAAGCGGTACAGGCCATTCCAATGGCCAGCCCCTCCACGGCAGGGGTCATGGTGGACAACCTAAGAGAGAACCATAGAGACCAGGTGAGTTGAATGGTGTCAGAGTATGCTCAGACCCTAGGGGCATGGGAAAATATGAAGCTAAGCCCAAGAGGGGCAAGTTCCAAGTAAAGACTGGCACAGACAGGGGAGGGTGAGCTCAAAGAGCTTAGACACTCTACCTCCCATCCCTGGGACTCCTGGAAGAGCTAGGTCTAGTAATTTGGGAGACATTAGCTTTTCTCCCATGGGATTATAGAAGAGATGGGAGTATTAGAAGTCAGGGACCTAGAGTTTGAGAAATGAGAGGGGTTGCAGAGTAGGAAGATAGGGTCCAAGGGGCTAAGAAAGGAGGTAAGGGCTGGAGAGGGCTTTATGGAGAGGGAGTAATGATTTGAGGGCTGGAGCTAGAAAAGGTTGAGTATGGGTCTGGCTCCAGGAGTCAGAAGTTCAAGGTAGATCTGGGGTCCTGGGGTTAGAGCAATAATAATAATTTCTAGGATTGATATAAAGCATAACACTACAGGAAGTTTACACAAATGATGGGGGTATCAGATTAGTGGAGATGGATGTCAGGAACTGGGCTGTGTCGCTCTGAGGACCTCCATCCTTAGGGTCTTACCTCAACCTCCCAGAGAGCATTGGAGCTAGTGGCTGATGTGGCAGACTGGCGCAGGGTGGTACGAAGGAACACCTGTAGCTTGCCCTTGTACTCATCACATGTCAGAAACTTCTCCTGCTCTGCGTGGAACAAACGTACCACATCTCCCTGCAAAGGAGAAAGGGGAAACGAAGAAAGGCTCAGGGTGGGGGAAGGAGGGTGTTATGGGAAAGGCCCAAGGAATCCCCCAACCATAAAGGCTTCTTGCTGCAAGTAATTTCCCAAGGAAAAGCCAGTCCCTTCTATACTTTAGTCCATGGTCTAGGGATCTTTCTCCCTGTGCTTCATAGAATCACAGAATTTTAGAATCAGAAACAACCTCAGCAACCATTTTATCCAAAAGGAATCCCCACTATGGCCACCAAGTGGTCACCAAGCTTCCGCTTGAAGACCTCCAAGGAAGGGGACCCCTTCTACTTTGGGGCAGCTCTACTTATTAGGAAGCTTTTCCCAATACCAAACTTAATGTGACCCCTTCACAACTTTCATCCATTACTCCCAGTTCTGCCTTCAGGGACCAAATAGAACGAGTTTACTCTCTCTTTCACATGTCAGCCCTTCAAATACTTGAAAGCAGCTATCCTGCCCCTTCTGAGTATTCTCTTCTCCTGGTTAAATTCCTTCCACTCATCTTCATATATCAAAGACTCAAGGCCCTAAAACATCCTTGTTGCCTTCCTCTGGACACTCTTCAGTTTATTAATGGTCTTACACTAGGGGGACCAGAATTGAACACAATGAGTTTCTTCAAAACAACACCCACTCAACCAGTCATTTACAAAGAAAAACAAAGCTACCACAGCACAAGAAAATCTTGGGGCACAAACTTCTCAGCCCAGTATTTGAGGCCTTCCATGCTTTGATCTTAACCCATCTTCCTACATTTACTCTGACTCCCATGTTTGTAATTTTGGTATTATCTTTGACTAGTTGACAGATCTTTCTCCCTCATTCTTTATATTCAATCAGTTATCAGTTCTATTGAATTCACCCCTACAACATCATTCACATCTGTCTCCTCTATTTCTACTGCTACCACAATGGCCCTGGCCCTCACTGCTACCCCTCCTCAGACCGGAGGATTACAAAAGTTTTCTAGAAGTCTTCCTATTTCTATTCTTTCTCAATTCCTACACACTGCGATATATAGAAACTGTATAGATAGATAGAACATATCTATTATTTAATAGAATAGTGATAAAATTGTTCTATAACCTTGTCTGTATTTTTTGCTTTCTTTTGTGCATTTAAATTCAAAATGTCTTTCATGCTAACACTAGACTAATCTTCCTAAGAAACAGATCTGGTTAAATCACTCCTGTGCTAAGAAAAAAAATCAAAGCTATAGAGTCATATGAAAGAAACTCTAAGTAAATAATAATTAGAGAAATATAAGTTAAAACAAGTCCGAGGTTCTACCTCACACCCATCAAATTGGCTGACAGAAAAGGAAAATGACAAACACTGGAGAGGATGTGGGAAAACAGGTACACTAATGTACTGTTGGTAGAGTCATGAACAGGTTCAAACCTTTTAGAGAGCAATTTGGAACTATGCCCAAAGAACTATAAAACTGTGCTTACCCTTTGACCCAGCAGTATCACTACTATGTGCCCTGAGAAGATCAAAGAAAAAGGAAAATGACCCATATATACAAAAGCATTTGTAGCAGCTCTTTTTGTGGTGACAAAGAATTGGAAACTGAGGCAATTCTCAGCAATTGGGGAATGGCTGGATAAGTTATGGCAGGTTCCCCACCCCTGAGTTATGGTATATGAATGTGATGGAATGCTATTGTGCTATAAGAAATGATGAAGGGAATGGTCTCAAAAACCATGTGAAGGCTCATATAAACTGATGTAAAGTCAGGTGAGCAGAAACAGGAGAACACAGTAACAGTAATATTGCAAACATAATCAACTGTGAAAGACTTAGTAACTCAGGAATACAATGATCCTCCAGAGTTCCAAAGGACCCATAATGAAAAATCTCTTCACCTCCAGAGAGAGATACTGATGGACTCAGAGTGCTGATTGAAGCATATTTTTTCTCATTTTTTCTTTTTCTTTTCTTTTTTTCAGAACATAGCTAATGGGCAAATATGTTCTGCATGACTTCACATATATAAAGGGTATTGTATTTCTTGCCTTCTAGATGGGTGGGGGAAGGTTGGAGAGAGAGAATTTGGAACTGAAAATAAAAATCTAATTACATTTTTTAAAAAGTTACTCCTCTGTTAAATAAACTTCAGTGGATCCCTACCAATTAAAGTATTCTAGGCTCTCTAGAACCAAGCACCACTCTATCTTTGCAGCCATATCTTTTATTACAGCCCTGTTCACACCCTATCTTCCAACCAAACTGAAGGACTTTCTGGCCTCCAAAGAGGTCCTGTGCTCTCCAGCCTGGTGCTTTTGTTCACACTTTTGCCTGTGACTGCAATGCCCTCCCTCCCTATCTCTGCCTGTCAAAGGCCAGCTCAACCCACCCTTTCAAGAAGACTTTCCTGATATCCAATCCAGTAAACATTTATTAAGCATCTACTACGTGCCAGGCACAGTGCTAGGCACTTGGGATACAATTAATAAAAAGCAGCCCCTGCTCTCAAGGAGCTTTACAATATGATGGGAGGGGAGGCAAGAGAGAGAGAGACAGTATACAAAAGGAGGCAGGAAGAGGTGTGGGGCAGTGAGACATCAGGCAGATATCTCTGTCCAATCACTCTTATCAATCAGCATTCACTTAGCTCTACTATGTGCCAAGCACTGTGCTAGGCACTTGGGATACAAAGGTAAAATAAGAGTCCCTACCTTCAATGAGCTTACATTCTATCAGGTAAGACAATATAGAAGAATATGCAAAATAAATACTAGGTAATTTGGTAAGGAAGGCATTAGCACCTGGGAGGAAATCAAGAAAGGACTCAGGGAAGAGATTTCCATAGATTTTACAAAGAACAATGAGAATTACAATCTGAACATGGCGGGAGCCTGTGCAAAGGTCCAAATACATGGACTGGAATAACATTTCTCTTCAGACTTCAACTGTCTGACAAGTATACAAAAATGTTTACAAATCTTTATGCAATTGTAGTTTATCATCCACTTGTATCTGTAATCTATTATTATAAAATATTTCCCATATGTCTGTTACACACAACTTATACTTTTCCAGTTTACAGCTATGAATTTGCAACTGAAATTGGTTTTGCAACTTCAACATGCTTTGTTTTCTAATTTTCTAATGTACTTGTCATGTAATATCATGTATTGTTACAGTTATCTGTTTGTACCCCTTCGGAGTTCTACAAGGGCAAGAACTCTCTCATATAAACTTTGTATCTTCCCAGTGCCTAGGGCAATATTATGCACACAGCAGGCACTTAATAAATAGCTGCCTATGAACTCTATCTGTTTTGCAGAGCAATCTGGAATTATGATCAGAGTTATAAAACTGGGCATACCCTTTGACCCAGCAATACCACAATTAAGTCTGTTCTCCAAGATGATCAGGAGAAAAGGAAAAAAAAATATATGTTCTCAAATATTTATAGCAGCTCTCTTTGTGGTGGCAAAGAACTGGAAATTGAGGGGATGCCCATCAATTGGGGAATGGCTAAACAAATCGCTGTACATGATTGTGATGGAATACTATTGTGCTGTAAGAAATGATGAGCTGATTGATTTTAGAAAACACGGAAAGACTTAACATGAAATAATGAAGAGTGAAGTGAGCAGAACCATAGAATGTTGTATATAGTAACAGGAATATTGTTCAAAGAATAACTGTGAATGACTGAGTTATTTTGAGTATACTAATATTCAAATCAACTACAGAGAAGCCATGAAGGAAGATGCTATCCAACTGTAGAGAAAGAACTGATAAATATATGTATACTATGGTTTGTTTTGTGTGTGTGTGTGTGTGTGTCTGTCTGTCTGTCTGTCTGTCTGACTGTCTATCTGTCTGTCTAATGGTGGCCTTCTCTAGTGTGGCATGGGGAGGGAAAGGGGAAAAAAAGTGCACAGCAAAGAACAAAGACATACAGAAGGAAGCACAGAAAAGCAGGGTAGCTTTGAAAATGATATCTAGTATCAATTCATAGTTTCATATTGAATCTTCTTTTTGTGTTGTGCTATGTACATGGAAATTTTTTTTGTCTTTTTATATTTAAGTTCAATATGAATTAAAAATTTTTCAAAATAAAAATAAGTAAACGTCTGCCTCATGCTAATTCCTTTTATGCACTTTAGAATCCAGCCAAGCTAGACTAGTCACTGTTTCCTAGATATGTTGGACTTCTTACAATCTCTTCAATGTTGTCCCTGTTGTTTCATCCCGGGAAGCACCTACCCCACATCTCTCTTTCTACAGAAATCCTAATCATTCATTAGCCTGGGTCAAATGGCACATTTCTCACAAAGCCTTCCTTGACAGAAGTGGCTGTTGTCAGAGTTCACATGGCATTGCGTTTGTACTTCTAATCACTTTCTGCCAATGCATTGTGGGTGTTTGTGAGCACACTTTATTCCCAACAGTGTACTGTCAGTTTCTTAAGAATAAAGACCATTTATTAGTCACTTCTGTGTTCCTCATAGGGCCTGTGTTTTTCTTGGCCTCTGTCCAACAGGCTATTGGCTACCTAATCATGTCCCCTCCTACTGCTTGGGACCCCTTCCATTCTACCCAGCCCCTTTCCTGGCACCTCCCATTTCTGGGAATCTTCTATCCAGGGTAGAAACTTCCAGTTTCCTAAATGACTGATGCTTCTCTGCCTGTGACCTCGTGGGAAATAAACCAGCCTGACCTGAGCAAAGGACCCCTTTCCTCCCTATAAAATACCCAAGCTGCTCTGACCCCAGAGCACGATTTGAACAAGCTGTCTTGGGACAGGAGATCTGGACCACTGAGCTCTCTTTTTTCCTCCCATTGTCTGGAGGCCATTCTACTGACCCCCAGGCAACATCTCTGGTCATATCCCTTCCCAGCCCTGCTCTAAAGTTCATGTTCAGTTGTTTCAGTCATGTCCAACTCTTCATGACCCTATTTGAGGTTTTCTTGGCAAAGATACTGGAGTGGTTTGACATTTCCTTCTCCAGCCCATTTCACAGATGAGGAAACTGAGGCAAACAGGTTACGTGACTTGCCCAGAGTCACACAGCTAGTAAGTATGTGAGGCCAAATTTGAACTCAGGAAGAGGAGTCTTCCTGACTCTGGGCCCAACACTTTGTGCACTGTACCACCTAGCTATCCCACTTAAAAAATTTAGAGATTACAAATTTAGAGATGAATGGGACCTTGGAGGTTGTTTTCAAATCCAGCCCTCTCATTTTACAGATGAGGAAACAGAAGCCTAGAGGGTTTAGATGATGTTCCCAGGGTCAGTCACATGGCTAGTAAATGTATGAGGCAGGATTTGAACCTAGGACTTTCTGACTCCCAAGTCCAGCACTTGATCATACCATATACTCTCTAAGAGCATAAGAAGAGATGTCAGATTGGTTTTCACACTCCTGCAGTCACAGAGATTATACTCGATACAGAGATAGGTACACAGATTTAGTAATCAATAGGTATGTATCCACACACCCATTCCTGGGCCAAGGACAGTGAGAGATACAAAGAAATAGAAGTCCCTGCCTGTAAGGAGCTCAGAGTCTAATGGGAGAAGGGGGTTGGATGTGAGATAACATACACAGCTGAATCAAATTAAGAAAATAGCATGTAATTGGGCTGAATTGATTTGTACGGTCCAATGTGTTCTGAAAAAAAGAAAGTGAGTAGTCAGGGAAGTCTTCATGGAAGAGGTGGAATTTGAGCTGGATCCTAAAAGCTGAGAGTAGCTCAAGATTCCAAGAAGTAGAATCAGAGTTTAGAAACTAAGGGGTGCTGTGGAGAAAGGGCTGAGCCTGGAGTTCGTTCAAATTTGTTTCTAGTATCTAGATCAAAAACTAATCAATCAAAAAAAAAAACCTAATCAAATCAGTTTTCTCATCTGTAAAATGGAGTTAATAATAGCCACTATCTCCCAGGGTTGTCATAAGGATCAAATGAAGTAATCATTACGGTAAAGCGCTTTGGAAATTTTAAAGCGCTACATAAATGCTGGGCATTTTATCATCATCCTTAACCTCATCATCATTATTATTAAAGCTATCTGCTGATGAGGAACCATCCTCGACCTCTCAGTGTCAGGGAATACAGCAAGACAAGGCTGGATAAAGAGGCCTCTGCTAAGCAGAGGGATCAGGACAAGAGCTTGTCAGCAATGAGTCCCCACCAGGGGTGGGAGAAATGATGAAAGTGTGACCGTGCTAGAACGTGTTAATTATTTACACTGGCTTGCTGAAATTTAGCTCATCAATCAGGCTGTTTTTCCAGATTGTTGAGTAGGTTTCACAAATGCTGGTTTCCTCCTTTAGCCTGAATTCTTGGTGACTTGGGTCTACTCTTCAGTTCTACTTTAATTCAGCTGTCTTCACAGCCACCCTGAATCCTTATGAGTGGTGCCATCGTCCTACGAAAAATCCCCCAAATCCCTCTGAACTAGGCTTTCTCTTTTCTTCCCGTTCTTTGAAACTTTTTCTGGTGGCCACTCCCAAAAGCCTCTATCCCAAAAACTCATTCCATTATTTAAGCATTTTGTTGACTCCTTTTGTTTTTACATCATAGTCATTTACGGATATGCCACCACTCACCTTCTCTTGGAGAAAACAATTAAGCAAAACCAGCAGACCCAATGACCTTGTCTGGCAGCGTATACCTTATTATGCACCCATAGTCCTCTACCTCTCTACCAAAAGGGGGAAAGTGGTTCCTCATCTCTTTTCAGAGGCCAAGATTGGGCATTACAATCACTAAGCATCTGGCTTCCTTTTTGTATTCTTCTTTATTTACATTTCAATCAACTCACTCTGCAGTATCATATAATTTCTTTCAAAAGTTTCTATTTTTTTCCCCCTTATTCATGACCACTCCCCTTCCCGAAGAGTTTATGCTTCTGGGACTCTTCTGAAAGAATTGTCACCTCACCCACTTGTCAAATAAAACTCTCTTAGTTCAAATATAAGCATATCTGAAGCCCAGTTTCCATTATGATTACTCCTTCCCCAGCTGGGCAGGGTTGCCATCAAATCCACGTACATTTGGGAGAGGGTGCTTTCTGCCACAGAAGGCACCAAGCAAAAGGCACAAGATGGTGATATAAGATCATTGCTTGGGGAGGGGGAAGAGGGAAAGTAATAATAGTAAACACCAGAAAGACAATCACAGGAAAAAGGACAGAGACCCCAAATTGCAGAAAACTTGTGTAGAAAGAGGACTAAGAAAAAGAAAGGCAGCTAGGTGGCTCACTGTGTCACCTAGAGCGCTAGACCTGGAGTCAAGAAGACCTGAGTTCAAATCCAGCCTCAGACACTTACCAGCTGTGTGACCCTGGGCAAGTCACTTAAACTCTGTTTGCCTTAATGCATTGGAGAATGAAATGGCAGACCACTCCAGTTATCTTTGTCAAGAAAACCTCATGGACAGTAAGATCCACAGTGTCACAAAGAGTTGGACAAGACTGAATTGATGAACAACAAGGAAAAGAAAGGGGGTAAAACTGGAGAGGGAATGGAAGGACTAGGAGAGGGTATAAAGATACAGAATTGGAGGATGAAACTGGGGTAGCAGAATGACTTTCAGAGACGGCTGCAAGACTAAAGGGAAATGTTTGGGAAGGGGAAATGAGGTTCAGGCACCAGAAAGAAGACTGGAAGGTAGAGCTGTGGGTGGGCTGAAAGGTGCAAAAGAGAATCAGGATGGTGTAAGGAAAGTAGAGCCGGAGTGATGAGAAAGGAAGGGCTGCCACAGAGAGCAGAGCTAGAGGGATCAGACAAAGGAATAGGGCTAGGGGAACTGAAGTGGAGAGAAGGTGAGCAAGGCATGGAAGGAAAGGCTGGGAGGGTGAGGATGGGGGAAGATGTAAATACCGAAGAAATCGTCCTACTGGGGAAACCACTGAGCAGTTTGAAAGTATAATTTTTTTTTTCTTTAAAGCCTGGGTCTCCCTAGCGCTCCCAGCCTAGAGTACAGGGAATGCTCACAAACCCAAACTCACTACTGATTAGTGCAAGAGCTTTGACCTGTTCCATTTCCTATCTGGACTGGTTTTCCCCTCCTTAGGCAATCTGGTGGTTCCCTGGCTGCTGGAGACTCATCATCTTGAGGCTGAACTTAGTAGAGATACCTGATTGGCTTAGTCAACTGCAGTTCAGAACTCCTGAGCTCCAGAGATCCACCAGCCTCAGACTCCAAAGTAGCAGGGATTCTAGACTTGTACCAAAGTATACTATCTTGAAGACCCTCTCTCTTGGGCTCTTACCCCTTTCAAAACCTCCTCCAGGTGGTCTCGGAACTTCATGAACAAGTTGATTTTCCAGCTGGTGTTGCAGTTGACAGAGTTGACCTGGGTGAAGGGAAAGGAATCCTGTGAGGTCCCAGAGGTCCCAAGAGACTCAGGGGGTAGGAACTGGGAGAGCCTCGAGGAGCCATCTGCCAAAGAGCTAGAAAAGGGACAATTGCAGGCACCTCCTCCCCCAGGGGCCTCCCCTTGCTCCTGCTCAGAGCACGGGGGGGAAGACAGTCAGTTTTATGGAAATATTCACCCTTCTGGACCCAACAGTTAGATCCTAGACTGGGCCTGAACACCACATTCCTAGGACACCCTCTTCACTGCTACCTCTCCTCCCCACCAAGAGTGGCCCATATAAGGAACATAGTGAGGTATGGGAGAAACTGTGAATGCATCCTTCACCAGCCCAGGTAACAAAGTTATGTGTCCCCAAAGAGTCAAGAATAAGACAAAACAAAGGTGACAGACAGCCCTCCCAGCCTCTCTGGGCCTCACCTCTTTGCAGCCGGCATTGTCACTGAGCTCATAGTTGCTGGCATGCAGGGGTTGTCCAGCATTGACAGGGTTCAGGATCACTTTGTCCCCCACAACCACCTGGGTGGGAGAGAACAGACCAGAATAAGAGGAGCAGGGAGAGAAAGCTGAACTCCCTCCCTTTAGCTGACTGGATTTCCTTAGGACCAGAAATCTATCCTTTTCCTTCCAGATTCTCCAGCCTTCTCTCTAGGCCTCGGTTTCCTCCTGTGTGAAACTGGAGAGAAGACGCTCACCCCAGCCCATCCCTGAAAAGGATGGGAAGCAAAGAGTGGGAAAAATACCAAATGCAATTGCCTCAGGCTCTAATGGGACCTTTTGACCCTTGGTGTTTGAGGAAGTGCCATCTTTCCTGACCCCCCCTCAGTTCCCAGGAACTCACATTGTCCCCATTGCTGCGAAGCTTCCAGAAAGGCTGGATGAAGAGCCAGGAACCCTCATTGCCAGTGGCATCCAGAGTCACCCTCATGGCATTCTTCTCCAGCAGAGCTGGTAGCCTTTTATTCACAGTCAAGTACTTGTTGCTCTTCATGTGAAGGAGCTGGAAGGAGGGAGAGGGAGGTGGGGACAGAGGTTGTCATGGGCAACCCGAAGGGGTGAAGCCCTAGGCCAGGTACTAGCAAAGGGAGCTAAGCCAGCAGCGACCGCAGGACCCACCAATACACTGTGTCATGGGTATCAAACATACACAGAGACTCACAAATACAGTCTCTCACACACCTGGTTATACACAGTTACTCAAATACATTCATGCACAATCACAAACACACATATTTACAATCACAGCTGTCAGTCACACAAAGAACCACGGTTACAAATGCAGTCAGCAAAAAAATACACATTCACAATCACACCCATCAGTCACACACAAGCACAGTCATAAATATAATCACCAAAAAATACACATTCACAAATCACACCATCAGTCACGCATAGAATCACAATCACCAAAAAATGTGAGTTCAGTCATTTTTTAGTCATGTCTGACTCATTGTAACCCCATTTGAAGTCTTCTTGGCAAAGACACTGGAGTGGTTTGCCATTTCCTTTTCCAACTCATTTTACAGATGAGAAAACTGAGGCAAATAGGGTTAAATGACTCACCTATGGTCACATAGCTAGAATCTGAGGCCAGATTTGAACTCACAAAGATGAGTCCTCTTGATACCAGGCCTGGCACCCTACCCATTGTGCCACCTAGCTGTCCCCAAAAATACACATTCACAGTTACACCATCAGTCACACACAGAATCACAGCCACCAAAAACTACACATTTAGTGATCAATGACAGACAGAATCAGTGACCAAAAAATACACATTTATAATCCTACCCATCAAACACACACAAAATTAGGGCTCACAAGATATCCTCTGAAAGTTCCTGTCTTTTCAGCCAGTCCCTCATAATACTATTACACTAATTTGGGGGAAAGGACCTTAGACTGTTGCTCCAAATGGTGAAAATAAATTAATGCCTAATCTTATAACCTATAATTAACTTGTTGGGGAAATGTTCAGTTCCTCCAGCCCTCTGCTGATGCATTCAAGATTATGTGGCCCTAACTTTCAAGGTGCCTTTCCGTTTCCTCACAACATCCTGCGAGAACCACTAAGCTATATATGAAGTAAAAAAAAAAAATAAAAACAACAGCAAAGCTCACAACCAAGCCTCAGTCACTATGTCATGCATTTGTGACTTAGTCACAAAACCACACAAATATAATCCTACTCATAGTCACACAAAATCACACCTTAGCCTCATAAAGTCACAAATACACACTTAAAAAATAACACCCAAGTCTTATGGTCATAGCAATCACATTGTCTTACCCAAAGAGTTATAAATTCACAATCATACCCAGGTCTTACAGTCACATTCAAGTTTTATATCAGGCACACACAAAATCACAACAGAGAGAGACAAATCAACCTCATCACACATCCACACACATCCTTATGACCCAGAGGTCAGTTTACCATCCAGAAGATGGTAGCCTAAGGTCACCTTCCCTGGCCCATGCAGAAGATGGTAGCCTAAGGTTACCTTCCCCAGCCCATTCCCTAAGTTTCCTCCTGATATCATCCTTCCCCCAATTTTCTCCAGATGAAAGAGGAAAGAAAAGGAAGAAGAAAGGAGAAATGATAAGTTCATGTCTTCTTCACAGGGCACCAACTTCCAAGCAGAGGTGTATGAGGGGAGACATGAGGGATAGATAGAGGCTGAGCATGGGGATGGAGAAAGAAGGGGGACACTAAAGCACTGAGGGTGGGGAAATATATAGGAGATGAGTCTCTACCTGTATGACACTGCCATACTTCACCACATCCCCGTGAACTTTCTTGTTTTCTGTCTCGTTCTGCTTCTGTTCCATTTGGGCTGCATGCTACAAAGAGATACAAAGTGGGGAGAAAAGTGAAGGGTAAGGCAAGGATTCAAAATGGGTCCCTCCCTGGGATCTAGCCCCTATGACAAAACACACTCCATCTTTCCTTAATAAGCTATCATGGGAACATCACAGGCTAGAAACTCATTACTCCCTGTTCCAGGAACAAAGTCAGCTTCTTCTAGTCCAGACAGAGAGTGTCTGGAGAGACTGAAGAAACTGAGGAAAGCAGTGAAATGGAGGGAGCTCTCTGCAAAGAAACAGATCCTGTCTAAGACATCTCCAAAAGACTCATGATGAAAAATGCTATCCATATCCAGAAAAAGAACTATGGAGTCTGAAATGCAGACGGAAGCATACTATTTGCTCTCTTTTTTTGTTTGTTTGTTTGTTTATTCTTTCTCATGGTTCCTCCCATTGGTTCTAATCCTCTTTATAATCTGGCTAATGTGAATTTTTTTTAAAAAAAATAGACCCTGGGGGGCAGCTAGGTGGAGCAGTGGACAGAGCATTGGCCCTGGAGTCAGGAGGGCCTGAGTTCAAATCCAGCCTCAGACATTTGACACTAGCTGTGTGACCCTGGGCAAGTTGCTTAACCCCACTGCTTAGCCCACCCACCCCCCAAAAAAAATAGATCCTGGTTTGTAAATTTTTTGGAGTGACCCATGGGTCAGTTTGGGTGTTAATTTGTTTAAGGTTATAGAAACTGCTTTATATTTCCTTGGTTTTTCTTTAGATGTTGGTGAAGGTAGGGGTGAGTTCAATAGTTACTTGTTTGTTTTTGCCAGACATGTGATTTCATTATTATAGTGAACTCCCAGTGAAAAAATTCCCTCTATCAGGACATATCTCCTGTTCTGCTACTTCTAGTCTTAGAGCAGGGGTGAGGAACTGAGGCCTCAAGGCCACATGTGGCCCTCTAGGTCCTCAGGTGCGGCCCTTTGACTGAATCCAAACTTCAAACACAGTGGCCTTGAGGCTGAAGGTTCCCCATCCCTGACTTAGAGAATTTCCTTCAGCACTGAGAAGTTAAGTAACTTGACCAGAGTCACACAGTCGATATGAGTTAAAGGTAGGACTCAAACCCAGGTCTTGCTGACTCTGAGGTATGCTCCCTATCTACTAAGCCACAGTACCTCTCAGGGTGGATTTGTGCAAGATAAGATTAGACAAGAAAGTTGAGCTACAGATCATGAAAGACTTGGAAAGTAATGAAGTGCCCCAAACTCGCCACCCATCTGGAGGCTTCCTGATTGGCTAAGGAAGAGCTTTGGATTGGAAGAATAAACCAATGGTAGCATTCCACAAAGCCCAGATGAATAAATTACAAAACTAGCCAGAGTATATTCTAAACAGACAAAGCCATTTTCTTCCAGGGCCATCATGAGGGCAGAGGATACAACAACATCCCAGGGAAAGAAGGCCCCTAGACCAGGTTAAGCCTGGGGAACTATAGTTAATGATTAAGTTAGAAAGCTTAGGTCCCATCTAGTCTGGAATCAGGTAGACTTCTCTTCTAATTACTTTTCTGTACTGGACCTGTGATTTCATTAGACTTAGGTAACTCAAAGTGAGTGAACTCTCTCTACCAATGCACCTGCTCTGTAACCTATAATCTTAGAAAGTAGCTTGGAGAGCACTGAGAAAGTAAGTGACTTGTCCAGGGTCTCATAGCCAGTATGTGTTAGAATCAGGATTTGAATCCAGGTCTTACTGACTTTGAGGCCAACTCTCTCTCTAATTACTGTACCATGCTGCCTCTCTACTTACCTAAGTCTGGAATATTATTTAACTTATATACTCTCTTTTCCCTTCTGAATAAACCTAGAAAACAGTAGTCTTGTGGTCTTGAGTGTGGGCAAACAGTGGGTAGAAGGAAAGAGGGAAGTGAGTGCTAAACCCAAGCAACCAAAGATGATGACAGCAGTAGAGAAAGGGGAATATAGGTAATTATCCATATCAAGTGCAGCAGATTTCGGACCTCAGAGACCAAGAAGGGTCAGGATCCCCCAATCTCAGGCTGAAGATTCAAGAGTTGGGGATGTGAGAAGCAAAAGAGGAAAGCTCTTGGCCTGAAGAAGGCAAATTGCCCTGAGCCAGCTCTGAGAAGAGCTGACGACCTAGGAAGCTGATTACGGGTGAGAGAGGCCTGAGGCTCTGAACAGAATCCAACATTTATTACAGTCTACAGATTCTTAAAATCCTCCAACGGAAGGAGATTTCCCAGCTGGACTGAGTGTCCAGGAGCACAGGACCTTCTCCCAGTATAAACCCCATAGGGACACTTCTCCATCCGGGGCCATGTTATACATCACCCCCTTTCTTTACTTCCACATCCCCTAGGAACTGCACATCCTTTCCGATGCTACCTTTTGTTGCCTCTAACAAGGGCTTTTCTCCTCGGTGGGCCACAGAGTACCCAGTGGACTCAAAGGAAGGAGGCACAGTAGAAAGGACACTGGATGTGGCTCCTAGCTCTGTCTGCCTCTGCCATCTCAGTTGTGATACTTACTTGTAACCTTGGGTAATTTACTCTTCTATCTTCCTGAACTTCAGATTCCTCACCAGTTCCTAATACCCCACCTCTGACACCAACTAGCTAGGCGACCTGTGAGCTTCGGTCTCCTTTACTTCAATCCCCTCATCTGTACAATGAAAATAAAAACAAGGCTATTGGGAGGAAGGCACTTTGTAAGCCACATAGCAAGGACTCTATAAATATAACCTATGATTATTTATACCACAAAGGAAAGTTCAAACTTAGTGGTAGTTCTCCTCCAGTTGGTATTCCTTTTTTCACTTGAAGAAAGTCTCCCTTAGGCGGTCCCTCACACCTCTTAGTCAGGAATTCCTTTCTACTAATTTTGGTTCTTCCTGCCCCCACCCCCTCCTCCCACTGGCCCTCTAAAGCCCAGCAGATTTACTCTCTTAGACTGAGTTAAGAGGAGAGAGAAGAGAGAAGAGGTGGAGGGTAGGCAGGCAGGGAGGGGCCAGAGATGTCCCAGCTCCCTAAAGACTGGGGGTGGGACTTGGTGCCACCCTTGAGGGGATTCCCAGATGCCCTTATCCCTGAGAGTATCTGAAATGAGTCAGTGACTCCCAAGCTCAAAACCAGCCCAGCTGGGCCAGGCAGGCACTGGGTAGGTGGCCAAGTCCAGATTGGAAATCCAGAGCTGAGACCTAGGATGCTGTAGAAAGAATATGATTTGGAGCCAGGGCCTAGGCATTGGGCCCAGTTCTGCTACTTAGTATCTGGAGGACAATAGGCAAGGTAGTTATCTAATCTGGGTCTCACTTTCCTCATCAATAAAATGGGGAGGGGAAGTAGACCAATCAGTCAATCAACTAGCATTTAAGCACCTTACGAATCACCAGGCATGGTACTAAACATTAAGATCAAATCACAGAATCAATCAAAAATTTGGAGTTGGAAAGACCCTTAGAAATCATCAAATCCAACCACCTCAGGAAACTGAGGTCACAGAGTAAGTGGCAGGATGTTCTGACCCAAGTATTCTGACTCCAAACCCAGCAAGTCTTCCTAACCAACACTGCTGCTCTCCTAAGGACCCTTCCAGATATAAATCTATAATCTTCTCATGACCATTGATCTCTAAGGTTTCTTCTTGATACTGTGACCCCCTGTCCAGAGAGAGTCAAGAGCTCTCCTATTTCCTAACCACAGAATGTGTACTCACAGACTACCAAAACTGGAAGGGAACGTAAGTTACCATGTGGTTCAAACCTTTTATTTTACAGAAAGAGAAACTGAGACCCAAAGAGCAGAAGTAATTTGCCCAAAGCCACACAGTGAGTCGGTGGCAGAGCTGGTACAAGAAGCCAAGTTTGCCAATTGCCCAGCCAGTACTCCTTTTGCTCATTACAAGAGTCTCTGGGTCTTTGAGTCTAAGTCTCTGAAAGGGGAATGGTAGTAATGAACCTAGTCTCTGAGCTCACCAAGGACAAAACAAGCCAAGAACACGTACTACAGGATCTCTGTCCTTTGAGCTCAAAGTGTCACTAAGTTTAATGAGATGAATACCCAGAGACCATGACCTAAGTTTCAGCGACCAGACTACAGATCTCCACTGCAGCATGTGAGAAGACGGCATGATTTGGAAATTAATGAAATCAGGGTTTGAAATATATTTGGGATTAGGAAGGGCTCTAGTGACTGAGGCCTGGACTTCATACTACATTGGGTTGGCATCGGCTCCACCCAAGCCTTGTTCCAGGGGTGAAAGAAAATTGGTCCATTTTCCAGTTCTAAATAATCCCATTCCATAGGGGAGAGAGCTAGAGATGAGATAGTGAGCCAGAGAGAAGTCACCAAAGCTTGCTGACGTGGAGGTCAAAGCCTGCTGATTACCTTCCCTGTCTTCACTCTCACTGTTCTCACTCTCTCTGTCTTGACTCTCATTTCCCCCCCTCTCCATTTTCATTTCCCCCATTGTCACTGTTGCCATTAACACTGTTCCCATCCTTCAACTCTTTAATGCCTTATCTACTTCTATAGACTTTAATTAGAGTCCATTTTATAATAATCTTCCAGAGGAATATCCAGGACTATAGTGTTAGAGGGCAGCTCTACCTTTCTCAATAGAGAAAAGGGTTTGTTATTAAAAAAAAACAAAAACTTTGCTGATCTTTTCCCTCTTTCTTCTGTTTGTTGTACTCCTTCTAGTTTCATCCTTATATATCCTCAGTATGGCGTTGCTTAGTTGGGTGCCTTGCCAAGCTTTCTTTGAACTGGTTAACCTCCATAATTTTTCTTTGTTTTATGATATTGCTCATTGTCTTCCATCATCCTTCTCTGTAAGATTTTTACAAATTAGTCAACAGTTAAATTAGCATTGCCTTTGGCTGCCATAAATCTCTGTTTGGCATGTAAGTCAAATAAATATCTGCTGACTAAAGTACTTCTTAAATTATTTTGATCTCTTCACTGATGTCAATTAAATCTCTGAATCAAATTGCTATGATCAGTGCAAAAGTCTTTTTCCTGTCCATATTCCATTTTTTTTTTAAGATCAATACCTTGTTTAAATAAGTCAGGTTGGAATCATATTAATCACAAATCATGGGTTTTTTCCCTCTTTTTTATTATTTCTCCTAACTTTATACTCACTTTGATATTTGCTCTAAAAAGTCAATAATGTCTTGGGGCAGCTAGGTGGTGCAGTGGATAGAGCTCTAGCCTTGGAGTCAGGAGGACCTGAGTTCAAATCTGACCTCAGACTCTTGACACTTACTAGCTGTGTGACCCTGGGCAAGTCATTTAACCCCAATTGCCTCACCAAAAAAAAAAAGTCAATGGTCTCACTGAACAGAGATAGTTGATTCAGGAATGGATCTCATGTCAGTAATGAGGAATTTCTTCTCTGTTACTAGAGAATCAATTTGATTTTTTTGTGATATTATTCAGCATTTGTCCAGTTCAGAACCTACCTGATTTTTTTCTCAAAGAAAAGATTCCTTGTGAAGCTTGTGTCTGTCTTCTCTTACTCCTTATTCCTGAACCATATTTCCCAACATAATTTTTTCACCCTCTTCACCTACCTCACCTATTCTACCTTTGAATTAAAGTCACTGAGTATGAAAGTATATATTGATTTAATTTGGAATTTAATTTGGAATTTTAATTTGACTGAGTTCTTCATCCTCTACAACAAATGTGGGTACACAGGTTACAGTTATTTCCAGAATGATCTTTTTGCAAGCACATATTGTGAGCACCGAAGTACAAAATGACCAAATATCCCGTGAAATGGTGTATTTAGTTGTCTCTGGGTGCATGATAAAACCATTTCTGTACATTCCTTTATTGGCCTTTTCAAGGAGAACCTATGACCATCTTACTTTTTACCAGCAACTTCCTTCTGGTTTAGTTTATAGCTGGAATATCAAGATTGATACGATTTAATTCCTGGCATCCATATCCCCACCTGGTTACTGGACCTCACATTTAGAATAATAACAGCTAGACTAGTGTTTGTAGATGTGATTCTTAGCACCCTCTGCCCTTTTTCTGACATTCTGCCCTTGTCATTGCAGAAGCAGAAAGAGGCCCACACAGGACTGAGAGGGACATTTTGTTTTTTGGTTTCATAGACTGTCATGGCCGAAGAATCATCCTGTGTTTAGCTTACTGTTAATGAGACTCTCTGCACTTAGTTGGGCTGGTCCTCTGAAAGCAGACTTGCTTTGTTGCCAGGACCATATTCAAAGCCTTTCCCATGTGGTAGAACCTGCCAGAGCTTGAGCTCAGCTGGCAAAGCCCTCAAGAACCCAGAGTCACCTCCATTGCCATAACTAGGCATCAGAGTAGGAGTTTTTGTAAGTAGATGCGTGTGAACATATAGGTCACAGATCATAGACTGTCAGAATTAGAAGGCACACTAGAAACTACATAGTCCAACACTCATTTCATATATGAAGAAACGAAGGCCCAGAGTGGTGAAGCAACTCAACCAAGGTCACACAGCTCATGAGCAGCAAAGAAAGGATTCAAACTCAAGTCCTCCAACTTCATGTCCAGTGCTTTTTGCACCACACTATCCTGCTTCCTATATCTGTGACTGTGTTTATGCAAAAGAACACACCAAGGAGGTGAATTTGTGTGTATATGTGTCTAAGCAGTGAGTTTAAGTTAAGGGTTCTTAACTTTTTTGGAGTTATGAACTCCTTTGACAATCTGGTGAAACCTATGAATCTCTTTTCAGAATAATAGTTTTAAATGCACAAGATAGAATGCATAAAATGACCAAAGCAACTAATTATATTGAAATAGTTATAAAAAAATGTTTTTCAATAAACACATTTACAGACCCTAGGTCTGTTAATATGTTTGAATCCCTGATTATGAACCCCTGGTGTAAGTGTGCAAAGTGTTGACAAGCATTTATTATGTTCCTGTTGTGTGTCAGGCACTGTACTAACCCCTAAATGTATTAAGTATGAAGCTGTGAATGAGCAAATACTCATCTGAGTGTGTGCACATGTGTGTGATTCTTACACACCTGGGTTTGAGTCAGTATAGACCATCCCTGCCTATCACAGAGTAGGAAAGAACCTTGTGACAGACAGGCCACCCTGTTCCCCTATTCTGGCCAGGAAGAGACACACTTGGAGTTATTTATAACTCTGTGACAGGCAATGAGTCCACCACCCACCCCCACTTCCTGCACTGCTCACATCTGCCAGGCAGATGCAGGGGGTGGGGGTGGGAGTGTGATCCTCCCTGCCCTTGGCCCCCATAAGCCCATCCTGTTAGCTCAGGCTATAGCAACCAGGCAGCAAGGGAGGGGATTAAGCAGGCTGGAGAGTCTTGGAAAGCGAGGTTAGAGACAGACAGCCTCAACGCCAGAGCATCATGCCGAGGTCAAGTCCAACCACTCATATGTCCAGGCAGAACAATGAGCAACAAGACCACGGGGTAGGCTCAAATCTCAGCTGGGGGCAGGGTCAGGGAAGTGGAGAATGGACTACGTGGGCAAAGGAAGACAGGGAGCTGGGAATTTCTGCACGCTGAAGACAAAATGAGCAGTTGACAATGAAGATTAGCAGCATTCACTTTGAGTCAAAGGTAAAAATTGTTGGCAACATCTAGTCTAGGAGCCAAGATCTCTGGGTTTTAGCACTGGTTCACCATGTGACCTTGGACAAGTCACTTCTCATTAAGAGGATTGGACTATCTCATCTCCAAATTTCCTTCCAGCATTGAATTTTTACATTCTAACATTCTATGTGCTAGGAGAGCTTCTGGCTCTGACATTGTATGCTCTGTGCTCCAACATTCTGTGTCCTGAGACTCCTTCCAGCCCCTCCCCAGGGTCTACTCCCCCTCACCTGGAGCTTCTGTAGGAGGACAACATCAGAGATCTTCTCTTTGTCCTGCTTGGTCTGCTTGGCTTTCCAGTACTGCTTCTGGGCTGAATATCGATTCATGGGGCATACCTTGAAGAGGCAGTCTGAGAGAGGGGACAAAGGGAAATGGTGCTTTAAATTGGGAGGCATTTCTGGTAAGGAGAGAGGAAAGGCTAGCAGGAGGAATACTTCATACTTTTTTTTTCGGGCAATTGGGGTTAAAGTGACTTGCCCAGGGTCACATAGTTAGTAAGTGTCAAGTGTCTGAGGTCACATTTGAACTCAGGTCCTCCTGACTTCTATCCACTGCACCACCTAGCTGCCCCCTAATACTTCACACTTTTAGGGTAACAGGTTATATTTAGTGAAAAGATCCCTTGACCTGGAGTCTGAAGGGCTGGGTTCGAGTTCTGACTGTTGTATGGCCTTTGAGTAAGTCATTTCCCCCTCTCTGGGCGTCAGTTTTCTCCTCCATAAAAGGGGCTTGGCCTGTGGTCCCTTCCAGTTCTGACATTGGGTGACTAAATTACAATGAAATGCTTGGGACTGGGAAAGCAGTCCAGGTGGAATGTGATGTAATGCCTCAGGGCAATGGATTACCTAGGGAAGGTTATTGCATGAACAAAGTTCAGTTCAATTTAGTGGGCCAAACATTTGAATCCATGATGCTAAGAGCTCATTAGTTAATTAATTAATGTTTTTGTGCTTAACTCTGAAAGGGAAAGACAAACAAATAGACCTTAGCCCCTGCCTTCAAGAAGACTGCACATAAATAGAAAGAATCAGACAATTATACAGATAATTATCAACTAGAATAGAATATGGCCAATGAAAGTGCTCTGGAGGAGGGGTAGGGTGGGGTTCAAAGAAAGGACAGCTCACTTTCAGGTGAGGGAGTCAATGGAGGAGGTGGCATCTAAGCCACATAGGAAGTAGAGAAGGAGAGAGTGCTGGAAAGGGAGGACATTCCAGGTAAACAGAATTTCATAAGCAAAAGCACAAACACCAGGAGACCGATTAGGCCGAAGTGACCATGGATTTAGAGTTGGAAGGGACCTCAGAGATCATATAGTGTAACCCCCTCATTTTGCAAATGGGTAGGATGCAGGATTGCAGTAGGGTAGGGTGGGGTAGGGTGGGAGCTGCCTTTACCCTCTGATTAGAGACTACTAGGCTGGGTGTATGACTCAGGGCTGGACAACAGCTCATGGGTTGCTGGCACTTTGCCCGAAAAGCAGGCAGATCCCAGCAGGTTCAGGGCAAACTGGGCTTTCAGGATGTTTCTTGCTAGGGTCTTACCCCCAAGCCTCAGACACAAGCATGCTGCCTTTTCCTCCCCCACTTTCTTTTTCTTCCTCCCCCTCCTTCATTCTTCCTCTGCTTCTCTATTCTCTTCATGTACTTTGTATCTGATCTGCCTCTACTGGATTGCATATTTCACTCTACTGAATATATACCACCTGCTTTGGCAACAGCCCTCTAGAACACACAAGGATGTGTCAGATCCAGGCCCTCCCCGTGGAAAGCTCACAGTCCAGCGAAGAAAACAAAACCAGCAACCATGAAAAGGTGTTAAAGAGGACAGCGTTTTCTCAAGAGAAGAAATCCAAAAGATCAATTGCCCTATAAAAAATTATCTAAATCACTAATAATTAAAGAAATGCACAGTAAATCAATTCTGAGGTTCCCTTCCTTTTCCCAACACCCCCTTCTGATCGGCAAAGCTGACAGAAAAGTCAAATGACAAATTTTGGAGGGCAAATTAGGCACATTCATACGATGTTGGTGGAGCTGTGAATTCTGGAAAGTAATTTGGAGTTATATCCCAAAAGTCAACAAAGCATACCCTCTGACCCAGCACTAACACCACTAGGTTTATACCCTGAAAGGATCAAAAAAAGAGAGGAAAATGACTCATATGTACAAAGATATTTTAGCAGTTCCTTTTGTGGTAGAAAAAGACTGGAAACTAAAGGGGTATCCATCCATTGGGGAACAGCTGAATAAATATGATCTATAAATATAACAGAATACTATTGTGCTGTAGGGGCAGCTAGATGGTACTGTGGACAGAGTGCAGAGCCTGGAGTCAAGAAGACTCCTCTTCCTGAGTTCGCGTCTGGACTCAGATACTTACTAGTTGCATGACCCTGAGAAAGTCAGTTAACCCTGTTGGCCTCAGTTCCTCATCTGTAAAATGAGCTGGAGAAGGAAATGGTAAACCACTTCAGTATCTTTGCCAAGAAAACCTCAAATAGAGTCACAAAGAGTCAGATGAGACTGAAACAACTGAACAACAAATTGTGCTATAAGAAATGATGAAGGTGGGGACAGCTAGATGGCGCAGTGGATAGAGCACCGGCCCTGGATTCAGGAGGACCTGAGTTTAAATCCGGCCTCAGACACATAAAATACTTACTAGCTGTGTGACCCTGGGCAAGTCATTTAACTCCAATTGCCTAGCAAAAAAAAAAAGAAAGAAAGAAAGAAATGATGAAGGAGGTGATTTCAGAGAAACCTGGGAAGACTTATATGAACTGATACAGAGTGAAGAGAGCAGAACTGGGAGGACCATTTATACAAAAACAGCAACATCGTGAAGTCAAAAAACTTTGAAAGACTTAAGAACTCTGACCAATGAGATGACCAACTGTAATTCCAGAGGAACAATAATGAAGCATGCTACCCACTTGCTGGCAGAGAGAGATGAACTCAGTCTGCAGAATGAGACACACAAAGATCTGAGGGTTTCAAGAGACTACGAGTTCAAAACGAGTCAACAGAGTAATACGGCAGCTAAAAAAAACTAATGCAAGCTTGAGCTGCAATCAGAGAGATATGGTGTCCTACTTTACTTAGCCAGAGTCAGCTCACATGTTCCTTTACAGGTGCCACATTTGAGAAAGGACATCGGTAATCCAGAGAGTGATCAGAAGATGGTAAAACGCTTTAGGGTCATGCTATATGAATTCTGTATGAAGAAGAATATTTAGCCTGCAGAAGAAAAGACACAGGGAGGACTGGCACATGAAAGAGGGATGAGACTTGTTCAGCTTATTCCAACAAGGTACAACTAAATATAGGAGCAATGGGGGGAAGTTTCAGAGAAACAAAATTAGGCTGATGCCCAGGAGAAAAAAGTTTCCTAACAATTAGGACTATCCAAAAGTGGTGGTGGTGGTTGTTTGTTCTTTGTTCTCAAAGAGGATCAGGGAGGTGATGTCATGACATGCAAGTGAATTGGATTTCAGTGAGGCAGGGCTACACAAAGTCAGCAGCCTCACTTTCTCCTCTAGAGCCATCCGGGTCCAATGGCCAGATATGGATCAAGACAACTGAAGATGGCTCAGGATACCGTGGTGGCCTTTTCAAGCTAAGGTCTTTAACAGGTCTCAGTTTGACTGAGGCAACACCCATTCTGTGATGAAGGCTTAATAAAAATGAGACAAAGAATGGTGGGACTACCCTAAGATGTGATAAGTGATCCCTCACTTACCAGCCGAGCTCTTCAAACTAAAACTGGATGATTGTTTGATGGAACGGTAGTAAAGATTCTTGGTGAGAATGGTATCTGAGGTGCCAGGAGCTCAGAGCAAGGAGAGATCCCTGGGGTGGCTAGGGAAGGATCCACTGAAGCTGCATAACTAGAGACGGACCTTGGCACACGAGCAGTATTTTCACAGCCACTGAGGAGGAAGGGCTGTCCAATAAATAAAGTCACAGCACGGGCAAAACTGCAGAAGCAAGAAGGGTCATGACTTGTGAGAAGTTGGGGTTGTAGCTAGGAGACCAGCCTGGCTGGTGGAGAAGAGTGCAGCTGAGCACTCATGTGCAATAAGGCTAGAGGAGGCTTTCCCAAATACACCAAGAGTTCAGGAGTTTTTATGATGGAGGCAGTCAAATAGGACCAGGCAATTCAGAGTCATGAGTCTAAAGAGGTCTAATGTTAGAAGATAAGGAAGAGGAAGAAAGAGACCAAAGGGCCTTAGGACAAATCAAGGACCCTAAATGGACCAGGAATTGGCCTACAGGAGATCACAGGATCATAGATTCAGAACTAAAAGGGAATTTATTGTCCAACTCCTTCATTTTATAGATGAGGAAACTGAGTCATGGGTTCTGTGACTTATCCAGGGTCATACAGCCAGGAAGTCTGTGGGGTGCGGTTTGAACACAGGTCTTCCTGACTCCAGGTCCAGTGCCCTCCATGCTATACCATGCTGCCTTTCAACAATGTTCCAAAATGTTCTTGGAGGGGCAACACCCGAGCAAAGGTAGCTCCAAGGTATACCTGGAGGAAAAAGAGGCTCCAGAGAGCCTCAGTTGTCTTCAGGGTTACCTAAGCCCTCATCTTCCTGGAGCTTCCTTTCCCAGGGCTTTCACAATCCTGAAGACAACTGATAGATACCACTGATGTGGAACACAGTCCCTGAAGTCAGGACACTTCAGTCTCTTGAGGAAGACAGAGCCACTGTCCTCAGGGTACATCCAATATGATGAAATGTGATGGGAGATTAACCCTGCCTTTCAGAAACCTAATAGAGGAGACCAATGGAGACCAATTAAGTCTAACAGAGGAGGCAAAGTCTTGGTCCTCAGAGAACCCCACTTGCCAATATCTCTCTCTCTGTCTCTCTCTCTGTCTCCCCCCTTCCTTCCCTTTCTTTCTTCTCTCCCTTTCTTTTTCCCTTTCCTTCTTTCTTTTTTTCTTTCTTTCCTGTACCACAGTCCATCACTCCTTCTAAAATGTCATTTATCTTCCTTCACAATCTTGACCCTTTAATTGACCAGTTCAGTCATACACTATCATCTAGCCTTTAATTCCTTGTCTCCTTGTCCTATCACTAGACAAATCCCAACCATGGGAATCTCACCACCCACCTTCTATCCTCCTATTCCCAATCTGCTGAATGGAGACTAAATAGCAACTGTATTCAGCAGGAATTTATGTCATCAGATCTTAATTGGGCCCTCACTAACATACAACTATGATTTTATTCTTCTCTATCATACTCTCCAACAGTGGCTTCTCTGAACCCTTTCCTCAGACCCCCTCCACCACCTCTTCTATCTTTCCTCTCAGAAGACTTTCCTCCTCTGCTAT